GTACACTATATTGCATTTGATCTTTTTAAGTACACAAATTCGAGATTTTTGTGTTAATCCAGTGCACTCGTTAGATTAACACGTTAATACGACTGAGTTGGCTAACACTAATAGGTCGACTTTTTGAAGGTCGATGCCAGCCCCCAGTCACTTGATCGAATTCCCCTTGGTCGACGTCAGTCCTCCGCAGGTCGACTTCTCCTTGGTCGATGCACCCCTACTGGCCGACCCCCCCCCCCCCCCCAGGTCGACCTCCAAAGGTCGATTTTCCATTTCTGTCGACTTCGTGAAGGTCGACACCATAACATTGGTCCATTATCCCTTCTTACTCGACATTCTGTTAGCCAACTCAGCTGTATTAACATGTTAATCTAACAAATGTACTCAATTAACACTAAAATCCCGAATTTGTGTACTTAAAAAGATCAAATGCAATATAGTGTACTTTTTACTCCACCTCGTACAAGTTGGTGTACTCAATTGACCCTTTCCTCCTTCTATTATCATCATTTTTGTCTTCTTTACATAAAAGTGAATCGCCCTCCTTTTCTTTTGGAACGAGTACATTGAGAGAAATAGGAGCGGCATGTATGATCTAAGCTCAGTGAAGAATTTTACATATACATGAAGTCCAAGGTATGGTGTGGGCAAAAATTTTACAGACCAAAATTCATATGGACAATCTGAATAAAGTTGGAAAATGACAATTTGAATTTCTAATTAATACAGAGTAGTTTGTTTTGTAAGAGTTTATGATTAGAAAAATGAAGCGTAGTGTTAAAAAACCATGGTGAGAAAGTAAATATTACCGAGTTTAATATTAACTTGGGTGGTCAAAATAGAAAAGGTTCTGACCTTTCTACCATATATGGCTAAAATATAAGAAAAGCAAAAAACTTAATACGAATCTCTTTTAGAATAGTCCAAATAAAACTAATAAGTGAATGAATTATCTTATATTAGTATTTTAATATGTACATCAATATAAATAAGGATAAAATATAAGAAATATAAGAAAAGCACAAAATTTAATACGAATCTCTTTTAGAATCGTCAAAATAAAACTAATTAATAAGTGAATGGATTATCTTATGTTAGTATTTTAATTTGTACATCAATATAGAGAAAACAAAAGAATATTCTTATCCCGTGCATCGCACGCGTACAACACTAGTTGGACTTTACAACTCGTTTTTGAAAAAAAAATTGTATATACACCTCATTTTAAAAAAAAAACTTCATATTTGCACCTCAACCCGTATGAGAAAATATAAATGTCTCTCACTCAGAAATATGATGAACGCCAACAACATTGTTAATGAAAGATCATTTTTGTCTTTCATACGGGCTAGGTGCAAATATCTTTAAAAAATAGGGTGCAATTTCAATTTCAATTTGAACGAGGTAAAGACGCACCAATGAGAGTGAGAGACTACGAGAGGAGTTATCTTGCTAATAAAGGCTGCGTTTGTATATTGGCGGTTCCCCCAAAAAACGGAGGATTTGAGAGTTTCAGCGTTTTTGACCGGTAAAACCTCTGATTTTTTGCGTTCGGTAAAACAGAGGGTCCGAATAGCGGTTGGGCTGAAACCGCCGAAAACTAAAACGCTAGAAATTGGAGCATTTAGGTTTCGGCGGTTGGGAATAAAGGCCTTGTTTGGCACTCAGCGGTTAGCGGTTAGCGGATTTGGTTAGCGGGTAGTAAATGGCGGATTGGATCAGCAGATTTGACCAGCGGATTAGCTTGGCGGGTTGCAGAAAGATGTTTGGTAAGTTAGCAATTTGTTTGTAGCGGATAATATGTAAAAAGACAAAAAAGGACATTTTAAAAATTTTGCATGTTTGTTTTGTTTTGTTTAATACGCAGTTACGACTATACTAATATATACGTACATAATATATGCGAGTAAATTATTTTAAAATTAACTAGATAAAAGTATGACAATAAAATGCATCAAGTAACTACACCAATATTAAGAAGTAATACAATTCTTAAAAAAGTAATACGCTGAATTGTAATATTTGTAATATTAAGAATAAAATCCCTATGACATCAAACTAGAAGCAATGCTATCACGAATGATCGCCATCTGGTGATTTCTCGTTCCATTATCAACTTGGGTAGTACTAGCTTGAACATCTGGAATAACGTCAAGGGGTATAAATTCTGGATCTTCATCAATGAAATCAAAAGCCGGATCAAGTTTGCTTTTTCTTATGTAGTTGTGTAATACAAAACATGAACATATAATTCTGTTTTGATCCACCAATGAATAATTTGGCATTTTTTGTAATATCTTCCAGCGAGCCTTAAGAACACCAAATGCTCTCTCAATACAACTTCTTAAGGATGAATGTGCTCGATTAAATACTTCTCATGAACCTCTTGGTCTTGATCCACGAAACTCTGATTGATGGTATCGTGTCTTAGGGTACGCAGTCAAGTATCCATATCTTTCTGGATAGCCTTTGTCAACCAAGTAATATTTTCCTAAGAAAATAAAAGCAACAAGTATAGTTAAAATTAAAATTGTAAATTAAATGATATATGGTATGTAAGAAAAAATAAATTTTAGTGAGCTACCAGGAGGTGGGTTTGGAAAATTAAGGCTTGGATTGTTCACTGTGTCTAAGAATATGCGTGAATCATGTGCTGATCCCTCCCATCCTGTTAGAACATATGTGAATAGCAAATCAAAGTCACAAACTGCTAGAACATTCATGGTTGGTATTCCCTTTCTTCCTCTATAGCGCATTTGATCTTCCTCAGGTACAGTTATTACAATGTGTGTACCATCAATAGCTCCAATACAATCCTAATATAATAATTCAATAAACATGATTGTATTAATATTCTCACTTCATTATATTTTATCATGTTTAATCAATTTATGCATTTATCTTGAAATGTGGCATATATCTATCATCATTGGCAATTTGTGAGGGAATTCGTTTGAAGTCGGGTCCTTTGGGACGAGTATGTCACGACAAAGTCATCCATGGCATTCAAAACTTCTTTGAAAATTCTACTCACAGTTTCACCAGAATGTTGAAAACGTTCTTGGGTATCTTTATTGGAATGTTTTCAACATTCTAGTGAAACTGTGAGTAAAATTTTCAAAGAAGTTTTGAATGCCATGGATGGACTTTGTCGTGACATACTCGTCCCAAAGGACGAGTATGAAACTGTGAGTAAAATTTTCAAAAAAGTTTTGAATGCCATGGATGGACTTTGTCGTGACATACTCGTCCCAAAGGACCCCGACTTCAAATGATTTCCCTCACAAATTGCCAATGATGATAGATATATGCCACATTTCAAGGTAAATGCATAAATTGATTAAACATGATAAAATATAATTAAGTGAGAATATTAATATAATCATGTTTATTGAATTATTATATTAGGATTGTATTGGAGCTATTTATGGTACACACATTGTAATAAATGTACCTGAGGAAGATCAAATGCGCTATAGAGGAAGAAAGGGAATACCAACCACGAATGTTCTAGCAGTTTGTGACTTTATTTGCTATTCACACATGTTCTAATAGGATGGGAGGGATCAGCACATGATTCACGCATATTCTTAGACACAGTGAACAATCCAAGCCTTAATTTTCCAAACCCACCTCCCGGTAGCTCACTAAAATTTATTTTTTCTTACATACCATATATCATTTAATTTACAATTTTAATTTGGGAAAAGTACGGAAAAGGTACTTGAGGTTGAGCCCGTTTTCAGATAGGGTCATGTGTTTCATTCTTTATCAAAGTGGTTCATGTGTTTGAATTCCGATATCATAAGAGGGTCACGCCGTTAAAAACGTCTGATAAAGACCCTCTTGTAACCCTCTTGAGGTTGAGTTACTTTTAACGGTCTTTTTCAGACGTTTTTAACGACGTGACCCTCTTGTGATAACTGAATTCAAACACATGAACCACTTTGATAAAGAATGAAACACATGACCCTATCTGAAAACGGGTTCAACCACAAGTACTTTTTCCGTACTTTTCCCTTTTAATTTTAACTATACTTGTTGCTTTTATTTTCTTAGGAAAGTATTACTTGGTTGACAAAGGCTATCCAGAAAGATTTGGATACTTGACTCCATACCCTAAGACACGATACCATCAATCAGAGTTTCATGGATCAAGACCAAGAGGTTCACGAGAAGTATTTAATCGAGCACATTCATCCTTAAGTTGTATTGAGAGATCATTTGGTGTTTTTAAGGCTCGCTGGAAGATATTACCAAAAATGCCAAATTATTCATTGGTGGATCAAAACAGAATTATATGTTCATGTTTTGCATTACACAACTACATAAGAAAAAGCAAACTTGATTCGGCTTTCGATTTCATTGATGAAGATCCTGAATTTATACCCCCTGACGTTATTCCAGATGTTCAAGCTAGTACTACACAAGTTGATGATGGAACGAGAAATCATCAGATGACGATCATTCGTGATAACATTACTTCTATTTGATGTCATAGGGATTTTATTCTTAATATTACAAATATTGCAATTCAGCGTATTACTTTTTTAAGAATTGTATTACTTCTTAATATTGATGTAGTTACTTGATGCATTTTATTGTCATACTTTTATCTAGTTAATTTTAAAATAATTTACTCGCATATATTATGTACGTATAAATTAGTATAGTCGTAACTGCGTATTAAACAAAACAAAAAAAAAATATGCAAAATTTTTAAAATGTCCTTTTTTGTCTTTTTACATATTATTATCCGCTACAAACAAACTGCTAACTTACCAAACATCTTTCTGCAACCCGCCAAGCTAATCCGCTGGTCAAATCTGCTGATCCAATCCGCCATTTACTACCGGCTAACCAAATCCGCTAACCGTTGAGTGCCAAACAAGGCCAAAGTGTGATCGTGGTTTGAAGGACTAGATTTAGACGAAAGCAAAAATTGAATAGAATTAGCCGGATTCACTTCAGGGGAGATAATTCGTGAAGTTATTTAATAATTACTACTGGTATATAAATTATTATTATTTCTTAAAAGATGCTGATGAAACAGAGAGACCACCGAAGAGATTTTACAAGAGACATTTCAATAAGTTAAATAGTTAATCCCGTCGTTGGGAAATGATGAAAAGGCCAGTGTGCTGGTGATAAACCCATCTAGTGAAAATGTACAAAAACCCAAAACAAAAAACCAGCCGGCATATCATTTCAAAAAGCTCTCATCAAGCCCTTCCCAACACCACCACCACCTCCCTTGCCATTGCAAAAAGCGGCAACAACAGCAGCAGGCCCGATCAACTCATCCTTCGACACTCCACCAGCCTTAGTTTGGCCCAGCACGAAACCGCACCTTGCGCAAATAAACCGGGCAGGAACAGCGTCCAAGTCAGGTATCCCAGCACACCGTGTGTGTTGCCATATGCCACAGGAATCACATGCCAGCATCCGCTCACCGTCATCATCCTTGGCCCCACAATGGCAATCTACAGTCCAACTCTCCAGACCTCTCTCCATTCTAAACCTACTCAGGCTGCCCTTCCCCAGGCATCTCCCCCGCACCCTCACACGCTCTGTTGACCCTAAGAGAAGTTTCAACCCAGTGGAGTCTCCCACACCTGAGTATCCAACCAGCTCCTCTACTTGGAATCTCCTGAACATCAGGTACACATCCTGGAAAGCTTTCGAGGCTTCAACCTTTAGGTCATGTATAGTTGCATTGGATGATAGAACCAACAGCTCTGGCGGAGGAGATTTATCCATGAGGTCCAGTTCGCATAGAAGCTGAATAGAATTATTAGGGTTTGAGAGTGTTGGGAGTTTATCGATTTGATATTCTTTCATGAATTTCTTGCAATCAATGAGAGTTGAGGCTGACTGGATTATGATATCCTTTTTAGCAACGTGCAAGTTGTTGGCCATGGTATGAGGATGGAGCATTCCATCATACAAGCATTTTAAATCCCGCAACAAATGTTCTTCTGATGGGTAATTTGGTCTTATACAATTACCCTCAACTGTAGTTGCAATAGTTGTAGCACTCCCAGGCTCAAGTCTACAATTTGTGTATACACATAAAAATAAGAAATATTGTAAAATATATAACTAAAAAAAATGACATAAATATGAATTTTGCAGGGTATTTATTGACTGCAGTGACCCTGGTGGTTTGAAGTTTTACATACAATGTAGTGCTGCTGGTGGTAGTTTTTCATGTGTAATCATATGTATTGGTAATATAAACCGAAACAGTATCATAATAATAATAACCTAATAGAAATTAATTTATAAAAAAGCCAATATGATTTTTTTGCAAATAGAACCAATAAGATGTTAAAAACTCACATTCACATTCTTTACAAGGAACTATTGAATGTGGTTACAGTAATATTGATAACATTAACGAAATAGAACCAACCTGTACTCCATAGCACCAGAATCTGAAACGCAGCGGGAGTTGACAACCATTCCATCAGCGGCCATCTTTCCCTTTAGTTCTTTAAGGCAGTAGTCAAGAAGTTCAGGGGGGCCGGCTTTGCATACAGCACCTCTAAGGGCACGCCAGCTAACCCATTTGGATCCTGAAACAGCTCTCAACACTCTGAACATTGCTTCTTCGACGCGTAGAACATCATTCATGCTCCATGCGCACAAGGCTTTGGTGTCACAGTATTTGGGCTTCTTGCAACTAGAGTTAGATTCGTCATCAACCCTCAAGCACGACTTGTGGGCATCATGGATTAAACTAATTAAAAAACTAAAAAGGTCTCTAATATTTACAAGCTCGCGCTCAGACAAGGATTGATAAAATGAAATCAAGTCTTGCACACGTGTCCGGGGTTTCCTTCCTTGAGAAAGGAAAACAGTCAACGGTAGAGATGAAAGGTTATTAATAGCTTGTTTGTAAGCATCGTGGTTCAGACCAAAACTGCCCGTCCCAAACTGATAGCCCCATTCACCATACCACGGATGTCCTTTCATTAAGGCATGAATCAGTCGAAACTCCAGGCCATATTTCTTTGATACATCCATCACACTAACCTTCCTGACCATAATAAGCCATCCCAATCAATACGTAATTGAAATGAGACCTAAAACATAAGTCAATCACCAAGAAAAACTCAAACCGATCAAAAAATTGAATCCCAACCTGACTCCAAGAACTTTGCAAAGCCGATCCCAGAAGTTCATTATATGACAACCGGAAAGCACCTTTGACCCGCCTTCCCTCCCATTGACGCGAAGAAGATGACCATAACCATTGGCATGGACCACACCGTGCAGAAGATGATTCGTATCCTCCAGCTGGTTATATATCCAATCTTCCACATCCTCCGTCGTCAAAACATAATTGCAGGACTTGCATCTAAATAGATAAACAATCAATCATCAAAACTCCGACAAACCCGGAAGAGCCCGGAGGAACCTTGCTTTTAATACATACCTAGATTCCGACACAAGAAGTGGGTCGCCGCAGCTGGCGCAAGACTTGCTATGGCCCCCAATGGAATTCCCGTCGGCCTTAATTATGAAGTGGTAACGCTTTGCGCAAACCGGATTATTGCTCCAACCTAATAAAAAAACGAAAAACAAAGAAATAAAATTAAGGGTATTTAAGTAAAATAAATAAATAAAATAATGTAAAGCGGAAAGTATTAAAAACTGCTATGCAAAGACAACTGTTACACGTCACTGTAACTATCAATACACGTCACTGACGTGGACTCGCGGGGCTACTCCCACCCGCCACGTGTTCACTACTCTATGAACCCACCAATATGACTAATCTAATCAATCAATAAATAAAATACGTAGTACGATATCGAAAATATTTGTGTTACAAAAAATGGTTTTTTATTTTTTATTATATGCATCTCCTTGTTTGTTGTTTTTTTGTCCGGGGGTCCACCAGACAACTTTTCCTGCGCTATTTATGAGTCCGTACAGTATGGTATCCCCTTTACCAGAAGGTTGTGCCCAGATAGGGCAATAAAAAAATCAACGGCCAGGATCATTTAATTAGTCCAAAGTTCAATTTCGATTTAAAATATCTTTATTCTTATGTTATTATCACGGAGTATTATTTATATTTATTGTTCAAAAAATATTTCATGGAACCATGTGTCACTTTTTATTCGAGCGAGGATTATATCCACTACCACCTAAAGCAAAAATTATCCGATCTGAGAAGAAAGCGACACGTTAGCATTTAGATCGAATATGATAAACAAAACGACGCCGTCAAGAGGGGCAAGACGGTAATTACAACAAACAATAATAATGAGGTGTAGGGTTCGACTCAGGGGACTGAGTCGGCGGGTCAACTCACCAACGACTCGGCAGTGGTCGCAATAAACGGATCTAGATCTCGCGACGTCCTCTTCCACGATGTCTAGGAACACCGCGGCGGGTGAACAGTCAACGCCGCCGCCGCTCTCGTTGAGATCTCCCACCCGAAACAGGATTTGCCACGTGAGGAGGTGGGGGAAGAGCGCCGACGGAGGCGGTAAGAGCGCGTGGGTGGACAGGAACGTCCTCACGTTCGTCCGGAACGGACACGCGCTGGCGTGAGGGAGAACGCCGTCGGACGGCGAGGGAAACGTGAGGAAATCGTACTGGTCAGCCGTGACACGCCTCTTCATCCGCTTCATCGCCCTGCCGTTAACCACCATGCCTGTGCCCGAACCGCTGCGCGTGGCCCCCAGATCTCGGCGCGTGACGTGAGAAACACAATGCCTTGGACTCAGATCTGAACAACACTCAAACGTTGGACACTCAACAGAACGAAGCCTCCTTAGCCAGGAATAAGAAGATGAAAGGGGTCGGAAACAACCGGAGGTAGAGGAGATGGATGGCGAAGGAGGGTGAAGCCGCCTCCAGGTATTAACGCTGGAAGAAGGATAGATAGCGGAAGAGAGAGAAAGGAGGGAAATAAGAACGTTTGTTTCGGAGTGAGAAATTAGGGTCTGGTATCGCTGCGAATTTCGGGGCTTTTGCGTACTTTTAAATAACTTGATTTTTAGACCTTTTCCTCTTTGAAACGAATGGCTCAAAAAATAGAAATTATTATTTATTTAATTTAAATTAAGTCGGCTGAAAAATCAACCGGCGAAGGTTTAGCCGTTAAGGCCGTATTATATGCATCTTAAACAGTGTGAGTGGACCGATCCATTTGTTCCTTACCGATTAAGGAAAGAACCGCAATCGTAATCAATAGCGTTGGTTCGGTCTGAGTGGGCTCAATTAATGGTTATGCATGTGATTTTGGTTATTTCCTAATTTATTCGTCTTTCAAATTCAAAAAAATGTACAATTTCGATTCCAATTTACTACGTAGTTAATTAATATGAATGAATTTGACTTTGATTATGTTTTTGTATTCGAGTATTTTTTAAATACGAATACGAAGGCAGTTAAATTTTGTCAAACGCTATTTGAATCACGTAAAAAAATTATTTATTTATTTTATCATATAAGCACTTCATATAAATAATTGTAGAACAGACTAATATTAATATTAATTAATTAATAACATAATGCTAGTAAAAATGTGATTGAGTATATGACCCCGGAACCTCAGGCTCATAGACTCTCAGGAAGCCCAACAGACCCAGGAAGCATGGTACGTCCAAATTACAGCGCCCCAAGTGCCAAGCAATCCACGACGAACACTGGGGTGCCTTCGGCCCCCTGGCCGAAGGCTCATGAGCTAACAGTACAGTTTCTTCAAAGCTCTCAAAGTGTCTGAGAGGAAGCGGCTAAAACAGGAGTCCTCAGCATCTATGGGCCCCCGGTATGAAGAGCCTTCGGCCAAACATCTACGGCCGAGGGCATCTCGTCGACAGAATCTCCCACCCACATGCGCCGGTTCAACGTACCAAGTACAAACGTCACATCCGACCACCGCATTTAATGCGGCCACATGCGAGTGCCAGTGCCACCCCGCTGAGGTGACCCCTCGACCACCAGAATGATGACACGTGTCCCTATCTGACATTTATTACTACTATAAATAACACTCATTTCCCCATTTGTAATTCATGCTCAATACACTCAACACATTCTCATCAATATATATTCTCTATCTTGCTTTTGCTCTGACTTCTCTCTATTTATTCCCCGCAGTAACCCCTCAGATAGATACCCCCGGGTACACCTATCCATCAAAATGTTTTCTTTTAATTGTACAAAATGAAATTAGACCAGATCAGACTTTCATAGTTATAAAATACACAAAAGACAAGACAATCAAATTTCATTTATTCAAAAGAAAACATCCTTCTACACTATTATGTAGAGTATGTAGTAGAAACACGTATTTCAATGTAAAAGAGTTCAGCACTTCGCCCATGGAAATAAATTACTACATTTGTTTTTTGTGTTTTTTGTGAAATGTTATTTGAGAATGGTGTTTCATAATACCAACCATGATCTATTGTTCTCAAATACTCCCTCCGTCCCAGAAAATTCTTCCAACTTTGATTTGGCACGGAGATTAAGAAAGTGGAACAAAGTGGAAATGTGTGATTATAGTTGTGTAAGAAAAATGTGAAAGGACTGTGAACCACACAAATTGTCCAAAAATGGAAAGTGAGAATTTTTTTTTGAAACGATCCAAAAAGAAAAGTGGGAAAAAATTATGGGACGGAAGGAGTAAAAAAATGAGGTTGTTGATACAAATAGCGGGAGAAGTAATATTGAGAGATCGTCATTGACACATTTCTCCAACTGTTATATGTAATGTTTTGCAAAAACAACACATTTTCAAAAAATCACAAGCTCAAAATCGACACATTTCCCCAACACTCTATGCTGCAACCTTCTTCAAGCGTCAAAACTCAATAGCAAATTCAAGTCTTTTGTTCGACATGTTGGCGTAGTCATAATCAGGAAGCAATAACATTCCTAGTAGCAGCTGGTTTGCAAATGATAAGACCATGACGCCGCATTATCTGGATCTGTAGACAGACAAATAAAGCACTAACAGACAAATAAAGCACTAACAGACATTTAGAACACTTAACAAAGACAATACATGTAATTCAAAAAAAATTGAGTTTACTAACATGCATGTTGTTGAGGCACACCCTCTTCTACTTCAGCTTCCCATGGTTGGACATGTAACGGATTAATAGTGCTACTCATACCAACAAGATGAATTTCCTTTTGAGGGAGCTCATCACCAAAGAACTTCAAGCACTACTAGAAAAATATCTATTTGTTGCGGTTATTTTTGGCTATTTGCTCCGGTTTTGAACCGCAACAATTGCCAGAGCAACAAATTGTAGTAAAAGTATTTGCTGCGATTCAGAACTGCAGCAAATAGATATTTAAAAAAAATGAATTTTGACTTATTGCTGCGGTTCAGAACCGCAGCAAATAGCTATTTAAAAAAAATTGACTTATTGCTGTAGTTCTGAACCGCAACAAATAGTATAAAGTTTTTTAAAATTTATTCGCAGCCAAAAAATAAAAAAAAAGCTGAAATTGTAATATTATTTTTGTTTTGTTCTACTACCCAAATTTACAAAGATGGTGTTTCCAGCCAAAACATACCTTATCTATAAAATAAGAAACATTAATATTACAACAATAGTATCTCACTTCACAAATCAAAACAATAATTCCAAAAGAAATACTACTTTAGTTATACATCACCAATATTCGGTGTGAATACAATCAAAATCCCCATCTTTTAAAAGTTTATAAAATCTCATAGTTACAATAAATTATCACACACTTGTATCACCAACACATCACAAGCTTCACATACTTCTATCTCTCGACAAAGATTCATCTCTTCTAGCACTCCAATAAACCTACAACAACAACATCCAAGCCTCAGTGCCAAAAGATATTGGGGTCGGCTAACATGAATCAATACATTATGTCATCACCAAAAGGAAAAGAAAGGAAATAAAGATAAAAAAGATAAGCTATTATATAAACATAATATAAAAAGATATGAATATACATAAAAATGATAAAATAAAAAGGATACAAATAATGCTTATATATATAAGGATAAAAAACAAGGAAAAAAGATGATACAAGATCACTCCTCTACACGAATACCCATCCTCCACTTAGCTCTTTCCAAAGTCATACCCTCATCCAACACCAGAAGAAGCATATCACTTCGAACTCCCCTAACACACGTCTGTTTGGGTCTTCCTCTCCCTCTCTTCTCTGCCTCATCTCCACACATCTCAACTCGTCTGACAGGTGCATCATTCGGTCTTTTACGCACATGACCAAACATGTAACACCTCGTCCCCATAGGACCCTAGCTAGTTACTCCAGACCTCTAGTAATGTCCTCACAAACCTCCAGACCTAATTGATGTCCTATAAAATTTACCCTTCAGTCTATTCGGCATACTTCGATCGCATAGAAATCCTGACGCACTCTTCCACTTCATCCACCCTGTTCTGATTCTATGAGATACATCTCCATCTAACTCACCGTCCTTCTGAATTATGGAGCCCAAGTAACAGAACATATCACTCACTAGTATCTCCTTACCATCCACAGTGATTCCGCTATTACCACTGCTTCTACCTCCACTAAACTTGCACTCCATGTACTATGTCTTGCTCCGACGTAGTTTGAAACCCTTATTCTCCAATGTTTGTCGCCATACTTCCAACTTTGCTTTAAAACTTGAGTGCGTCTCATCAATCAATACAATATCGTCGGCAAACATCGTGCACCACGGTATATCATCTTGAATTGACTTCGTAAGTTCATCCATGACTACAACAAATAAGAAAGGGCTCAGAGCGGATCCTTGGTGCACTCCGATTGTAATAAGGAACTCTTTAGTCCTTCCTACACTAGTACGGACACTTGTAGTACAATCCTCATACATATCCATGATGATGTTGATATACTGGCGTGATATGCCTTTCCTTGTTAAGTTCCACCAAAGAACTTCTCGAGGTACCCAATCATGTGCCTTTTTAAGTCAATGAACACCAAATGCAGATCCTTATGAGCGTCTCTATACTTCTCCATAAGTTGCCAAAGAAGGTGAATGACCTCAGTTGTTGAGCGACCAGGCATAAAACCGAATTGATTCTCTGAAATCTTCACAGTTCTTTGAAGTCCTTTCTCAATCACTTGCTCCCAAGGTTTCATGGTGTGACTCATAAGCTTAATCCCTCGATAGTTGGCACATTCTTGTACATCACATTTATTCTTAAATAAGGGGATACAAGTACTCTTCCTCCAACTCGTTGGCATCTTGTTGTTTCTCCAAATAATGTTGAAGAAATTTGTTAACCATTCGAAGCCTCTCTCTCCCAAGCTTCTCCAAGCCTCGGTCGGTATGCCATCTAGACCCACTGTTTTCTTCCGTCTCGTCTTCCTCAGAGCTTCTTTAACTTCCGTTGTTTGGACCCGACTCACAAAATCACGATTTACCATACAATCGTTATTTCATTACAACATGCACCAAATACTTCCAATTGAAATAAACCTAAAATTTAAAAAAACACATAATTAGAACAGAACTATCAAATAAGCCCTCGAACTATCATAAAAAGTGCAAATAAGCCCTCTTACAGGAGGATTTGTCCGGCTGTCGCCATTTGGGACGCTTTCCGGAGGATTTTTTTTATGAAAGCTTTTGAGAATCTTCTTCATTAAGTCTAGTTTACCCATACCAAATTTCAACAAAAAATTCAATCTAGAATGCAGTCAAATGATTTTCTGAATTATACTGCGCTGCCTAACTGCGCAGTTATCTTCAAAAATTTATTTGACTGCCTTCCAAATTGAATGTTTAGCTGAAATTTGGTATGAGTAAACTAGACTTAATGAAGAAGATGCTCAAAAAATTTCATCAAACAATTTCACCGGAAACCACCCCAAATGGTGACGTCCGGACAGAGCCTCCTATAAAAGGGCTTATTTTCATTTTTTATGAAAGTTCGAGGGCTTATTTGGTAGTTCTCCCTAATTAGAACATACACTCGTGATTATA